GATGGTCAACTTCGTTTACTTCGAAATCATTATGAAGTAAGTCAAATAGAAGAAAAAAATTATTTCAATCATATTTTTGACTTTGTTATTTATCATTTTATAGCGTAATTCCCAAACATTTAAAGTTGGTCTTGGTCCAATTCAAAGTATTATACCATCAACACTAAATAATACATTTCTTTTATCAATGCGTGATTATCCTGTAATTGTAGAAATTCAAATCAATAATAATTCCCGTTTGTCATAGTCAATGCTTTTTGTTTTTTTTTTTTGTTTTTTCTTTTGGTGTGAATGTCAGTTGTTGTGAAAATAATTCAATATTCATTACTGTTGGGTGACATACACACAAATATTTTTTTGTTTGTCTTGGAACATAGAAGAAGAGAACAAGAAGAAAAAAAAAGGAGGAGAGAGTCATGACAACTCGAATAGGGATGCTTGTTTATGAGTTTACGCACTTTAATAGAATTTTTTTTTCTTGCATTGTTTTTTTGCAGATGAACAAACGTTCTTTAAACGACACTCTATTTGGTATTCAAGGTGTTAATCCGGGGTTTTCTGCTCGGGAAGACCCAAATGCTATTCCATCTCAGCAAACAGCTGGAAAAGTTGTATTAAAACGGTTTGTTTCTTATTATTGAAATGAGAAAAAAATATTAATATTTTATTTTTAATAGACAACAACTTTTAGCATGTCCGTATTTAAAAGTTGATGAACAAATAAAATTACTTAATCTACAAAAAAATTGTATTGCTAAAATAGCTAATCTTGATCATTTAACAAGTCTTGTTGTACTTGATTTATGTGAAAATGAAATTGATTGTATTCAAGGTTTGGATAATTTATGTTCATTAAGAATTCTTCGATTAGCAAATAATAAGTAAGATTATTCAGAAAATATCAATTAATTATCATTTTGTTTTTTAATAAAGAATAAAGCAAATAAAAAATCTGGATACACTTGAACAACTTGATGTACTCGACTTAAATGGAAATCAAGTAAGTTTTTCTTTAAAAACTCTTTTTTTTGATTTTTTTTTTTTATGAACATAGATTTCCCGAATTGAAAATTTTAAAAATTTAACACGTTTACGGGTTCTTAATTTATCACATAATCGAATAGAAAAATGTGAAAATTTACGAACCTTAAAAAATCTTGTTGAACTTAACCTTCAAGGAAATCTTATCACCACTGTGGTAAACTTTTTCTTGTTTTTTTTCTTCTGAAATCAATTTATATTTTTTTAAAATTAGTGTGATCTGGAAACATTACCAATTCAAAGATTATTTCTAAGTTTCAATAAAATTCGAAGATTTGACGATATTCGCTGTATTTCAAAACTTACTTCACTTGAATGTTTATCACTTGAAGGTAAATAATTCAAATCATATGAGACATACAATAAACCTGTAAGTTCAAGTTTGGATATTTCTGAACATCATTAACATGAAAACCTTTTTTTTCTTGGCTTACTGTTATTCCCTAGTTTAATTCATTGAAAATGTCTGTATTCCATACCGAACCTGAAAGTTCGGGTTCAGTACATGCTTAAGTCTCATGAATAATTCAATTGGTTTGCTGTTTATTTAGGTAATCCATTAGCATTTACAGCTGCCTATGAACAAATCATTTTATCTCAATCACAATCTTCTACGATTAAACAAGATAATCGTCAACCAATGAATATGGTAAATAGTTTGATATATTGTTTTCTGAAGTTTAAAACAAATACGAAACGTGTTTTTTATGATTTTTTTTAGGATCAACGAATTAGTCGTGTAATACGAATGCAGCATAATACTAATAATAATGCTAATAATAATGCTAATATTAACAGTAGTTTTAATAGCAATAGCATTAATAATATCAATAATAATAATAATAATAATACAGAAATAACGCATATAAATCGTGATCGACGTCTTCTTGACACTCTTTCAAATCAGCAAGATTCTATGAGTGAACGAAGTGATACTGATATTGATTCTGTCAAGTAAAATATAAAAATTTATTTATTTTCTCAAAATAAAAGAAATCTTCTATAGAACAAATCCACCACCAGTTTTCAGTCGAACATCATCAATTACACAACAAAAACCTACCATCAAACCAATACAAGAAACAATAAATCCATTACTTGTTGAAACAAAATTAAATCCAGTAAGTTGAAAAGAGAAAAAGAATTATCATATGAGAATATATTTATTATTTTTTAATAAAAAAAAAAAAAGATTATTGCTGAACGATCAATATTAGCAAAAAGTTTGGTACAATCAGCAATTGATGATGCTTTTCGAAAAGAATCAGTCACTGTTCAATTAGCACGCTGTTGGCCATTATTATTAACTCAATTGATAAACGATTCAAATTAATTCGAAAAACAATTTATTTTTTTTTATTAATGAGATTTTGTCAGATGTTTCTTTTCTTATTTAATTTTAATTATTAATTAGTTTATATAATAAAATAAAATGTGAGCTGCACAAACAAAAAAAAAGAAAGAAAGTTAACTTCGATTAATATTGACTAATAACTGGAATGTGTTTAAATGGGTTATATGAAAACTGTGAAAGACAATACAGGTCAATTAATTATAAAGAAATATCATCGAAGAATGACTATATTGTTCTTTTTTTTTTAAACTTCATCTTTTGTATTAAAATCTATTGATGTTTTTGATCGTACAAAATCTCCAAAATTATTAAATGAATGAGAACACACAGGTAAGGTTCGAGTTGTATCGCCGTAAGTTTGTCCAATATGATACTTGCTTTCTAGAAAAACAAAAAAAACATAAGCATAAATTAATAAAAATTAAATCTTGTGTACGAGGAAGATATCCAGTATATTTTGGAACCATTCCAGCTTGTGAATAAAGTCGATGACTTGAAAAACTTGTTACTGAACGTTGTAAGACCTTTGGTGAATTTGGTGGTAAACTGAAATAAATAAAAGCAAAAAGAAGAATAAATCATTATTGATATATTTCTAATAATTTAATTCGAAATTTCAGACAACATAAACTAAACAGCTTATAGATAGCCATAAGAAAATTATAAATCTTTTTTACAGCGGACAAATATCAAACATGTAAAACCTGTTAATCATTAGATGAATAAATTTGTTGACTGAAAGAAATCAAATTTTTTATTGTATCTATTCATTTTTTTCTAATAATATTTACTTCGATTCTGAAGGTAAATCGATTGATGTTGGAAAATTGGTTGTTAAACTTGTTGATTCTAGAGCAAAACGATTTAAACCTTTTTTTGTTGCTTCATGGTAACGTAATCCAAGACCAATATCTGTTGGACGAATACGAGGAATGTATCCTTTATAACCAGGCATTGGTGGTTCAACAAATACACGACGATCACCTATATCATTCAAATAGAAATAATCATCTCTTTCTCGAAATTTGGTTTTTTCTTTACTTGTTTGTGAACTCTCGGTTGGATTGTAAGCTCGATGAAAATCAAGAAAATGTTTAACTACTGTTTCACTATTTAAGCTCTGAGTTTTTGGATAACCAGCAATAGTATTTCGTAATTCTTTAGATTTAATTTTAGCTTGTTCATACGCAACTTTTGTTCCTGATAAACATGAATCTGTTTCGACACGATATCGATTACCCAGTTGAAATTTGCGTTGAGGTATGTAACCTAATATAAAATAAATCTTAATTATGAGACAAACAAAAAAATAGAACTTCTATGATGTATTATTCACCTGTATACCCTGGAAGCATTCCATCAGGAAATTCACGCGTTTCATATGGATCAGATTGATCAATTTTTACAACTGGTATATCCGTTTTTGAATGTACTAAGTTAGGAAATTCTTTCGCTAATCGATGTGTCTCTTCACCATATGTATGACCATGACGATAGCGCAATTGATGTATATATCCAGTGTATCTATTATATATGGAAACCAAATTAGACTACATATGTTATAATCATATTGTATAAGCTATTCATGAAGCAATTTATAGGTTATTTTTGCAATGTCTACTTTCATTAAAGTAACCTGAGACATTGATAGCAAGTGAAAAAACAACAACAGCTACCAATAAATCAAAACAAATTTCAAAAATGAAAATCATATGCATGGTTTCGTACTATAACTATCGTGATTAAAAACTCGTCAACATACAAATCAATTATCAGACCGCAGACATCTTACAATGTCAATTATAGTGTAGACATCTTAGAAAAAAAAGCATTTGTCTATTTGTTTTATTCGTTTTGCTTTTAGAAAGAAAAATTTTATTTTTTCTTCAAGGTATATGTATAATATTTTGTTAACGAAATGCCAAAGGCTTAGAACAGACTTTAATTTTAACACAAAAAAAAAAAATGTATATTTTGGAAAAAATACATATCCTCAAGTGTTTATACGGACGTTTCATATTTTTGTTACCTTGTTAACAATGACTTGACAACAAAGTATTTATTTCGAAAAACAAACATAAAAATTTTTATATGTAAACTAATTTCTATATATCTTAATTGTTGTTCTATATTTATTGAAGATTATTACTTTGGCACTTGTGAGCCATCTTTAAGATTACTAAACTGTCGACGAGCTTCGAGAGACGGGCCACCACCAAATTCGATTGTTGTCATTTCTCTTGTTTGAGAAGAAAAGAAAAAATAACATATATAAAAAACATTCTTCACATCTTCTCATTGTCTCTCATTTACATTTGAATCCATCTCAAGAGTCCTAGCAACGACCTCTACATTGACCTTATCAACAGAACATATTTATGCATTTCATGATATTTTTTTAATAAAATAAATAAATAAAATTATTAAGATTTAAATTAGTCATAGATTTATTTTTAAAAACTTTTACATACTATTCAATGAACAAAATATTCTAATTGGTTCAATAAAACTTGTTCTTTGTTTATTAGATTCATTCATTTTCTATTCACTTTGTCTACATCATTCGTTATTTTCATTCCAACAAATTTATATAAGCACTAAACTAATGACTTCTTCAACACAACATTCAGAAACTGTTGCCAATACATCAGTTGGTGATGCATCTGCTGATGTTTATATGACAAATTCAGAAGAAAATCAAATTAATGGCATTGATGAAGAATCAACTACAAATGAAAATAAAACGGGTAAACGAAAACGATCAACAAAAAAATCACTAGAACCAACAGAAAATATACCTAATGGACGTCCAAAACGTACATTATCTAAACGTAAATAAATTTAAATGAATAGTAAAAAAAAATGATAATAATAACAAAAAAAAACAAACAATTTTAGGTGATGACGTACCAACAAATATGATTAATGGCATTACAAAAACAAATAAAGCTAAAACTGAACAAATAAGTGGTGAAGCCGATGATGATCAAGAACGTGATAAACAAATTCCAATACTTCATGATGTTGCTGATGTTGTTTGGGTTAAAATGGGTGGACATCCTTGGTAAGATAATTATTTTAATTGAAAAAAACTTATCTCTATAGAATTTATTTACAGGTGGCCAAGTCTTGTAATTCGAGATCCAAATGATCCAAGTGGATGTTTTACAAAAATTTCTGGTATTTATTAATGATAAATTTTTTTGCAAAAGAAAATATTTTACACTATTGCTTTGTTTTTCTTTTTCTCCTTTAGGTAATGCACGAGCAAAACGCATGTATTTCGTTGTATTCTATGGTTCGACTGCTGATTTTGCATGGGTATCTGATGCAGCAATAATACCATATCAAGGTGTTGAAGCATTTACTAAATATGCTCAAGAAACTGTTGATAAAGTATATATATATAATTTAATATGAATAAGAATTCAAATTGTTTTGATTTTTTTTTTCAGGCACAAACAAAATCTCAAAAAGAACAATTAACTGAACGATTTCAATTAAAAGTTACAATTGGTCGACGTGAAGATTGGGAAATGGCTGTACGTGAAGCTGATGAAGCAATTAAACAAACTAATGAAAAACGTCTTGAAGAAATTGAACCTAAAGTTCATTTCTATACAAAAAGACTCGGTAAGAAAAATTTTATTTTTTATTTTTTTTTCATTTTAGTTTTTTTTAAGTTACACCAAAAGGTCAACCTGGTCGTCGACCAAAACCATCTGTTACAAAATCAGAAGAATCTAATGAAACACCAATAATTGATACAAATAATCGTTCATTACTTGCTGAAAAAGCATTTGAATTTAAATCTGATGATGAAGATTCATCAACTGATTCACCTATACGTAAAAGTTCATCAGTTAAAATAAAACTTAGTAAACAAACATCAAATGATTCGGATTCAAATCCAACACCACCGAATAAAAATCGTTATATACCAAAAACAATTTTATCGAATGAAAAAATAAATTCTACATCAACACCATCAACAATAACAACTGTTTTTGGACAAACAGCAAATGGTTCATCAGTTTCATATGAACAACAAACATCAACAAATAATTCCGTTGATACAACACCAATTAAAATAAATTCAACTAAAATGATTAATGGTTCAAGTAGTGGACGAAAACGTGGTCGACCACGTCTTAAACAACCATCAATATCATCAAGTAATGATGATACACCACCTCCACCTGTACCAGAATTTAATTCTGCTAGTCCATCAGTTACAACAAAATTTACAACACAACGTAAACCAATTATAAAACCACAAGCATTTATGAATTCATCAACAAATAATATTGTTAGTGGACAACATGATATACGAACTGGATTTTTATCACCATTTGAAGAACAAGAAGTACTTGATGCACTTGAACAATTAGGTTCAACAAAAACATTTGAAGAAGCTGAACAAAAAGCTAAACGTCGTTTTGAACATATACTTTGTTTAAATCTTAATCGAACACATGTTGATATACCACAAGAATGTAAGTTCGTGCTTGTTTTTTTTTGTTTTCGTAAGATTGAAGTATTCGAATTAATATTTCGAGATTAATTTCAGATATCAATCATTACATACAGAGGTGCAGAATCTTCCTCGTGCGCCCCCGCGCGGGGAGGGAAATTTTTTGAAAAGTTGTCTTATTCGGGGAAATTTTGGAAATCAGCTACAAAAAAAAATGTGATAAGGGGAAACATCGTTCTCTTCATAGTCAATCATGAGTCATTAGATGAGGAAGTGATGTCACATTTGAGTGCACCATCGCTCCATTTAGCAGACCCGTTCATAAAATCCTTCCTCAACAACTACTTCTTTCGTAAGTCTGTAGTTGGCGAAAAAAACACATTGGGGAAATTTTTGGAAAAATTTCTTCGGGTGGGGAAATATTTAATTTTTTGGAAAATTCTGCACCTCTGATTACATAGGACTTGAAGAATTCTTTCATATGCAGTGCCGTTTTCAAAAATAGTACATAGGGAACAGTTCTACGTAATGATTGAAGTCTCATGACAAAACACTTCGGATGGTTTCTTTATTAGAGAAATCTTTGTTTTTTTTTGAATTTAAATTTTTTTTAGGGTTTTATACATTTTTGTTTTCTCATCCATCATTAATAATAAAAAATCCTCAATGGTTTACTGAAAAAACTAATACGGATACATTGAATGATAATGATTTACTTAATGATGTTCAATCATCAAGTAGTTTAGCTGTTCTTAAACATCAATTAGTTGTTTTATCGAAATTATATCGTAATGAATTACAAGCTCGTCAATCAGCACCTGTTAAAAAACGACGATCAACAGCTGGTAGTATTGGAAAACAAAAATCAATTGAGAAAAAACAAGATTTCGATGATAAATTAAATGATATACAAGGTAAAGAACAACAACAACAACAGCACCAAGAGGAACTTATTGCTTAACATATACATATATATAGAGATAAACAATATTTTTGCTTTTCTTATCTAAATGTACATTTCAGTTTTTTTTTTCTATCAATTGTCTTCTCGTAGAAATAAAATCAAATACAATTTATATATATATATATATATGTGATGAGTTGAACTCATTCGCAATATTTGATAGAAAGAAAAAAAAATAGATGTATGTGTGTATCATCCTCTTTTCTGAATGTGATTATTTTCTTGTATTTGTTCATTTTGTTGTTGTTGTGTTGTTATTATTGTTCTTGCTGTTTTGGTTTCATTCGAAGCAAACAATAAATATGCCCTTTTTTCGTAGATTCAGAAAAACAAAACATAGACTCAATTGTTACCTTGATGTGATGTAGAGAGGCCAAAAGAGAAAAATATCAAATTTCAGATGTCGACAGTTTATTATTACTTTTCTTATTACGTCTTCAGTTTGTACTTATGACCAATAAAATAGTGATGAATAATACTTGATAGACGTTAATTTAAAGATTACTGGTTGAAAGGAAAAAAAATATCCAAACGAAGAAAATATTGAAAAAAGTGATCTTTTTAGAGTATGTAGAAGCATTGAGGTCAAAATTTTCGGACCTAGACCCTGTTGATTGAAGTTTCGCGGAGCTGTTGAATCGTACTTTGATACTATCAAGAAAATTTTCTAATCGAAATAGGTTAGTCGACGTGAAGGTAAGCGTTACTTTTGTTCGAGTTTTTGTATTCGACGACTCATCTAAGAAATGTGTAGGCTAGAGGCCATCACTTCCAGGATCAGCTCTTGTGGATATGATCGTGAGTGTAGATGAAGAGAAGATTACAACACATCGACATAGTTTATACTAAAAATATCTTGTTCGTTGTAGATTTCGATAGTTTTTGTTTCAGTTGTTTTACAACATATTAAGTGAATTGTTGTACACTTTAAAATCTATTGTCTTCGCATGACTATTTTATCTTCACTAGATGTAGGTCAACCATTATTCGTAATTAGTTCATTTTTGTTAGTTGATAAAAAGAAAGATCTTCGCAACATACATAAAATTTTTATTGAGAAAATTAGTGAGTTGTTTATGAATTTCTTTATTATTCATGATATGATATTTCAATTGCTTTTAAAGAATCAATCTGAAATCACATCTATTCCTGGAATCTTCTTCTACAATACTTTTCGACATTTCTACGACTAACTTATTGATGTTGCTGATATTTTCTTCTCGATCATGTGATTATTGAATTATATATTTTTCTTTTTTGTTAATATTTTTTCAAATATTGATCATATTTCAACTTATAAATATTTAAATAATTTTCACCTGTCATACTACTGAAGACACACATGTTTTGTTTTTTGTATTAAGATAGAAATACGATGAAAATCAATGAGAAACAAAATATAGAAACTTGTCTAAACAACACACAAAGCATTGAAACAAGAAGAGAATAAAAACAGCCCAACTATAGTCATGATATTATGATGTATTCCCTATCTGACATCCCATGGATGATAAGCCTTCATAAATTATTTTATGTTTGTATTCGACGAATATTTTGTCCTTGTCTTGTTACTTTATTTAATGCTTGAACAATTGATACAGTTACATTCATATTTCCAATAACTTCTGTTTGATCATCCATTCCATATACTTGAAAAGAAAATAAAGAAAGTAGTAAAAAAAAAATATAAAATAAAAATAAAATCATTCTACCATCAACTCTTTCTTCAATAAGATCAGTTTGATTATGTAAAAGTTGTTTAGCATTTACAGTTGCAACACCAATATCAACACAATCAAGTGATGGTTGATCTTCAGGTGGTTCCGCAACGACAACAAATTTTATTCTAAATAAATCAATATATTATTATTATTATTTGATATATTCAATAACTTACTCTCCACTAGATTTTGGTTCAACAAGTTCAGCAAGTTGCTGTTTCTTTGATTGATCACGTACAGAACAATCTTTTTAAAAAGAAAAATGATTGTTTAGAAAAAGAAAAAAAACTTATAATCAAAACTATTGTTTTTTACCAGTTTGAAAATTAAAACTATATTTTGTATTTGGTGTTCCTTTTACTAATGCATATGGTGTTTCAAGATCTTCTGCTGGATAATCAAGAAATTCTACACTAACAAATACTTTTTCACAATTTTCATCATCAAATACAGAACATCTGTCAGTGAGTATAAGATCATGTACACCAATTGTTACAACATCATCTCCTTTTTTAGTATTTCTTGACATTGAAGGCTGATAAATAATATCTGGCTCAGAATCATCAACATAAGGTGTTGTTGCATTTGATGGATTGACTACATCATCAGATGATCCTAAAGAAAAATAAATAAATATCAATAAAATTCTTTTTTTTTTTCGATTATATAAAAATGAATAAACTTAGTCATTTCTCAGGTCGAACTCCTTATGTTGAATCTTTGAACTATCCGGTAGCGGGAGCTTACGGAACGCAAGGAAATTTAGTGGTATGAAAATATTTGATTTTGTTTTTTGTGATTAAAAGATAGCATGAAAAATATTTTTGTAATACTTTTTATGACGACATGAAGCCGGTTCTCATTAATTCAAATCAAACATTTACGCCCTTCAACGACCTGTTTACGGTAAGAATGAAAGTTATACAACTAAACGAAATGTATGTGCCAATTAAAAGTCAGAATAAATTTTTGATTCTATTTTTTTTACCTTCATTTAGAATTTATTATTCAACAATTGTTTATTATAATAAGTTACATTTAAAGCATTAATTTTCAGCTAATTGCACAAGAGAAAGGGAGTAAAGGGACATCAAACAATGTCTAATGATCAGATTTAAATTCAGTATGATCTTATCGGAGGTCATCGGATTATTTAGAATATCCTATTGAATTCGAATTTAGGATTTTGTATTCTGAGATTCTCTGAGTTCGTATTTTTTTGATCGTGCAGCCTAGAAGTCTCTGGAAACTTTCTTTCTATATATTTAATTTTTCTTTTTGTTTGAAAGAGCATATCAATAAATAGAACGTGACAAAATCCTTTTTATGATTGTAGCGTTGTTTTTTTAAGGCATTAATTTTTCTCTCTTAAAAAGGACATCATCATTTCTTACACTTTGACATGCTCTTGAAAATAAAATTTAGCTATAAAGAAATCCGAGTTGCTAAATAAGCTAATTTTTAAGCCTTATTTGTTGAATATATACTCGAAAAGGTCGTCATGGTATAGCGCTGAAAATTTTAAAAGGGATATCGCCTTAAATGAATATTTTGTTTTTATTTACCAGGTGATACTGTACCACTTGTTTCGCTATGAACAGGATGATCCTAAAATTTACAATAAACAAATAAAAACAAAAAGATTTGAAAATTTGATTTTAAATAAACAAACCCCATTTTGATATCGAGTTGATGCATCGTCATCTCGATTATCAAAACTAACTAAAATTAACAAAAACAAAAAAAAAACTTTGTTCAAATAATATTCTTTTAAATTTAATTACCTCGTTTGCTTTGTGAACTTGCATTTGATGATGTTCGTTGACGATAATTTTGATGTCCATTACGTACTGGTTGTGATGAACTAGATGATGGTAAACCAGAACTATTTCTTGGTAAACCTAAAATAACAAATAGAAAAAAGATAATCAAGAAAATTTTTTTTGTTCTTCATATTTACCTGGTCTTGGTCTTGGTTCATGATCAGGTTCAAGTACATCGTGTGGCGTTAATCGTACATTCATTTCTCTTTGTCTTTCAGCTATAGTTTTATGTCCAGATATACTTTCATCAGGTAATAAAGCTAATGGTTCACGTTCATTTGTTGGTGTACTTTTTAAACGTTGAGCTGGTGTACGAGTTGATGATGATGGTGGTAAATATGAATATGTCCATTTAAGTGTAACATCCATTGTACCATTTGATTCACCTTGATCATTATGCATATCAAATGTACCTCGAATTGGATTATCATGTGAAAGTGATATTAATGGAATATCAGCACGTGCAACATAACGATCAGCTTTTTGATCACGATCATCAAAAACAAATATTGTTAATTGAGATTGTTTAAGATAACGATCAAGATCAGCATCCATTGGAATAGGATATTGTGTACGATCATCAAAATTTGGATTATTTGATGATGGTATTGTTAATGTATCATGATCAGCAAAATCATAAAATTTATATATACAATAAAGATCAGGTTGGCGATCTAGAATAAAAAAGATTTTTTTTTTTTTCTTTTTCAAAGAAAAATCAAGATGTTTTTCTTTTTGTTTTTCTACCTGGTGTAGCTGCTTTAACATTTGCACAATTAAGAATAGCTATTGTTAATTCATTCATATTTGGATTCATTTCACGTTGTTGTTCAATATCATCAGATGTTTTTGTTGATTGACGACTTGTTGTAACAAGATAACCTTGAGCTTTCATTTTTTCTTTTAATAAACGGAATGCTTGTTCCATAGGTACACGTAATCGAATCCAATATTCAATAGCACCAAATGTACCAATATCAAGATTATTTTGATGAGATGCTATTAATTTAGCTGAACCATGTAATCGACCTTGAGTACCTAAATAGAATTAAAACAAAAATTTTCTTTGATTATCATTATTATTATTATTTTCTATCTTTTAGATTTACCTTCAATAAGTTGTTTTAAACTAAGTTTACATGCAGCTATTGTTTGAAATGATTGTCCAACTGTTTGATGAAGTTCAATAATTGTATATTCTTTTTGTAAATAATATAAAAGAAAATCATCAACATTAACAATATATTGTGCAGTAAAATTATATTCTGGTGTTCGACCTTTAACAATAGGTGTCATTTGTAATTCATGTTCAAAAAATTCTATTGAACAGAATGTTGATGGTTCAATATTTTTACCGAAAAATTCAAGTGCACGTTCATTAAATGAAGCACGACTTATATGAATTTCAATTAAATTTTGTCCACGTTCAAGTTCAATAGCTTCTTCAATTAAA